TTAGGTGTGGTGCACACTTGTTAATTCTAGCACTAGGTAGCTCCTACAAAGCCCTTTGATCCATTGGAGCAATCTTCGTTCACGTATGATCGATAGTTGGAAGTGAATGCAGGGTCAAATACCGATCGGACGCTGGATCCGGTGTGACTGGACTCTGGCCGTAGGGTCCGGTCAATACATTTGACCGAGGAGAACAAGTCTGGTGTGACCGGACGCTGAGGGCCAGCGTCCGGTCGACTCCAGTAAGGGTCTAGACTTGAGAAAGTGTGACCGGACGCGTCCGGTCAATACTAACCGGACCCTGAGTATCCAGCGTCTGGTCGAGTACAGTAAGGTTCCAAGAGCGACCGGACACATCCAGTCAGTGCTGACCGGACCCTGCCAGCGTCCGGTCATCACTTAAAAACTGGTTCGCGGGATGAACTGACCGAGCGTCCGGTCAACATGACCGGAGCGTCCGGTCACCCCGCAGAGGCACATAACGGTTCGTTTTTCAAGCTGCCTTATGAATAGAACCTCCACTCATGTGTGGGGGAACTTTTGCTCATTCCATCAGCTGAAAAACTAGTTTGTGAGTGCCAAGAAGAGTAAGGTCCTAGTGAGGTGTTTGTGATTTGAGAATCCAAGAGAGAGAGCCCTCATTAGTGAATCAAGAGTAGCAAAGTGTGCATCCATCCTTCTCATTAGGCTTCGCGTGGTCAAGTGAGAGTTCATGCTTGTTACTCTTGGTGATTGCCATCACCTAGACGGCTTGGTGGTGATTGGGAGCTCGGTGATCATCCGGAGAGCTTGTGGGTGACCCGACTCAAGTTGTGAGCGGCTTTGGCTGATTCGCCATGATGGAGTGTCGAAGAATCAACCCGTAGAGAGCACTTGATCCTTGCGCGGATCAAGGGGGGGCTACACCCTTGCGCGGGTGCTCCAACGAGGACTAGTGGGGAGTGGCGACTCTCCGATACCTCGGCAAAACATCGCCGCGTTTCCTCTCCTCTCTTTACTTTGAGCATTTACTTTGAGCAATTCAATACTTGTTATTTACATTCCTAGAATTGCTATGCTAGAGTAGGATTGGAACTAGGTTGGAAGTCTTTTGTGCTTTACATCAATAGAAACACTTTTCTAGGCATAAGGGGTTAATTGGGCTAACCGTAGAATTTGTTTATTGCGAAGAAATTTTGAATTAGCCCAATTCACCCCCCTCTTGGGCATCTTGATCCTTTCAATCAATAATGATATGATCCACTTTATATCATCACGTGATCATATTGGTTCATCGATCTTGACTTCACTTGCTTTTCACCATTGCTTTTGTCCATCGGCGCCAAGTCTTGCTCAAGCTTCATCGCCACGCGGTCCATCGCTCCAAAGCCTCCGACTTACCCTTCATGCTTGCAACCGGTCCATCAAGCCAAGTCTTGTCTTGATCTTCTTCACCTTGATCACATGACTCAATGTCATGTCTCATTTGCAATAAGCTCCTTCATCATCACATGTGTGAGCTTTGCAACATCTCCAAGCCTTTTTCACCTTCATGGCATATGTTGCTCACACACATGTACCTGTGGACTAATCACCTGTGTATCTCACATAAACACAATTAGTCCACCTAGGTTGTCACTCAATTACCAAAACAACATAAGGACCTTTCAGCGGGGCGGCCGACACGGCGACGTCGTGGTCAAGGACGCAGTGATCGCGCCTACGCGAGGAAACCGACCTAGGACGTGCCATGCACGCTTTTTAAAGCGTGCAAATCAACTAATCGGTTGGCCAAACACCCAAACCACCTTCACCATACTTTAGAGGGTACATCATGCCACCAAAACAACCCGTAACTCTACCCTATTTCTTAAGCAGATTGCCGTACAAAAATTACAAAACATCGCAGTGTCTAGCTCACCAAAAGTTCATGAAATCTTCTAAGTGTTGAACGACTTTCTATTTCTAGTTGCATTTCCAAACCCTTAGAAATATAAGCTAGCAACATTATTTATCAACACCGAGTATTTCATTGTCATATGCAAAGTTTGTACTTTCAACTTTATTAAAGTGTTGCATATATGTTCTATATTTTTTTTGTTCGATAAAAATTAGTTTTAAACCCTAAGTGATATAACATAACTATCAAATCAACTTTCGTTACGCATTTCTATTGATAGTTTTGAGTTACAGAAATTGATCTACACTCTTTACTACATGCATTAACACATAAACATGATGCTCATGACATATTTTAGTAAATGATTTACAGTGTAACACCGATGTTGTTACAAATAACTCAACTCACTTTCCATTAATCATTTGAAGGTATATATAGAGATTACATGGTGATATGAAGAGGTATGAAACTGAAATAAAAGGATTACAACCTTTGGGGTACTAATGTAAACATGTAGTATGCTAACAACAGAGACTCGCTGACAGGCTCGCAGCTCTTAACAAATTCATTTCAAGGTCAGCGGAGCGAGGGTTACCCTTCTTCGAGGTACTAAGAAATACTGAACCATGCAACTGGGAACCAGCACAACAGAAAGCATTTCATGACCTTAAAAAATACCTCCTCAGCCTCACAACCCTCGCCAGCCCATCGCTCGGCGAGCCACTCCTCCTCTATGTATCAGCCTCACCTCATGAAGTCAGCGCAGTCCTGGTAAAGGAAACAAAAGAGGAACACCAGCAAAAACAACTCCCAATTTATTTTGTCTCAGAAACACTCGAGGGTCCCAAAAAGTTCTACACTGAAATGGAGAAGATAGCATAATCGAATCTTTATATGTATTTTTGTATCTGTGTTCATAATTTTTTCTTACTTAAATGTTTTCGTGCATAATTACTTAAGATTTTTCAAGTTTTTTAAAAATTTAGTAAATAAAATAACCCTAGCTTGCTATTTATAACATTGCCATAAAATGTTAAAGACAGTGCCACAACCCACAGCCCACAACCAGGGTGGGTTGGGACATTTTCTAAATCACGTAGGTGCCGACCTAGGCCTGGCAGCTACCGGCCCACCATGTTACTCGGTGGTTCAGCTAGCCAAAATGCTTTTTCGGTTCCCACCCAGCCTCATCGGAACGAAACCCAACACCTTCCCCATCATCCTCTGGAGTCCGAACCCTCACCTTTCACTCGCCTCCACCTCTGAATCCAATGCGGCAACGCGCGCCCCTCACCCTGTCCCTCGGCCTTGGATCCCATCTCCATACCAACCTAGGTAACAGTCGCATGCTTCTTCTTGTTGTTCTTGGGGATGGACCTATAGACACGAATGAGTATAATTAACCGATGAGCTAAGACCGAACGAAAATATCCGACATAGAAACCGAATTCGGTCACAAATTCGGTCTCTGGTTTCAACTAGCCGAATTTATTAAGGTTATTCGGTTTTCAGTCCTCTGTTAGACTATCTCCAACATGTGACGTATAACCATACCTAATCACAAAATACATGTTGCATGTTACTTTAGCGCAAAAAAACAGCCTCCAACAGGGTAGGCATACCAATGAGGCATTTTGCGTGAGAGGCTAGATGCAACCCAAATATACGTATGCTCGCATCCCTAGCCAAAGCTGCATGCTGCGTCTAGCTCCGCCCCCACACCGCTCAAACTCCTGCTGCCCGGTCACGCGTGCATGCATGGGGGTCTTCTTTTGCGTCCCCTGTTGAAAAACACAAAAATAGGTAGTGACCTTTTTGCTACAGCGCCACGCATTTTTTCGGTTGGGCCTCCTATTTGGGTCATGTTGGAGATAGTCTTAACCGAAATACCCGATGTAAACCGAAGTTTAGGCCCAACAGGAGTTTCTAGCCCAGCTGCTCAAGCCCATTTACTAAACCCTACCATATCATGCCCCCCCTCGGACGGACGGCCGCCACCCCATCCCCCGCCGCTCTTCGCATCTCTCTCCCTCCGCTCTCCGCTCCAACAATACTGCCAGGCGCCGACTGGCGGCGCTGCGGCTGCTGCTGCCCACTTGCTCTGGCTATCAGATGACTCCTCCCGCAAGAATTTCAGACTGCTATCTCCAAGAACTAAATACTGAGTTGATGTTTCTTTTGCTTTTCTGTACTGCGTGTGCAAGTACATGGTGCGTTGGCGCCTACTGCCTGCTAGCTACTTCTACTTTTGATGTTTTGGCCTTGTGATTTCTGTTGCAATACCATGAAAGACTAAGCTGTTGTGAAGACGCGTGATTTAAAATTTTTATCCGTCAAAAATATCTCAAAGGGAAATCCGATTTGGGGATTCACTGCTTTTATTTTTGTTGTGGTGGAGATGACCGAAACCGAACCGAAATGCTCGGTCTTTAGTTTTGTTATTACGAACCGATCGTTCTTGAGGTTTCTGATGACCGAAGAACCGAACCGGATTTCTCGGTCTGACCGAATGCCCACCCTGCTAACAGGGATTGGGTCAATTGGTGCCGCCGCCAAGGCTATTAATGTCGTAATGCGAAATGCTAGTCCATGGTAGTAATGGGGTCTTGCGCGGATACCGCTTCCGGGTCTTGTTATTTGTCATATTTGGATCTGGATGCGAGGTGTGAATCTTGGATTTAGTTCAGGCGTGCCCTGAACTGGCTCAATTTGTTGCCTCTGTTCAACATGAATATGGTTGGTGTGGAGCTGAAATATTATATGTTGTGCTCTCGCTATGGGTTTCTTTCTGAATGACGACTCACGAGACGCGAACTTGATTTTGCCGCTGTTGGGTAAAATTCAGAGGCTTGGTCTTATCACCTACTTTAGTCACCAAGGCGTGCACACAGATCTAATAAATTAACACATGGATCCTTGCACAGAGATGATATATGTGTTTTTTCTTGGAAAACCCTGGGTTGGTTTTCGATTTATGGTGTTTGCCTGTGCTTGACTGTAACAGTGAAAACAATTCAATCAATAAATAGACATCCTGATGATATGTCCGTAAGTGTAGTCCATGATACTGTTTCCAACTCATTCTTTTTGCAGTTTTACTCCTTTTTGTACATAAAGGAAGATGGGAGCATATGCGATGACTGGTATGCAGATGATGGCACAGCGCCCTTGCATCCCAGCCTGCAGGCAAATGCTTGGGTCGACATCAGCACTATCTGCATTTGGAAGGGCAATTTGTACCAGAACTGGCTTTGCCAGCTCTTCTAAAGCCACATCAGCAGGACCACTGGTTTCTTCAAATTGCAAGAGGGTTGTGAGGGCAATGTCGCAGAGAGGTGCCCAAGGACTTCCCATTGATCTTACAGGTAAGCTGAACTAAGATATCCATCCAGAAATGCAGATCGTTAGTGGTATAGTTCTAATGGTTCATGTCTTTGCTTATGCACATTTGTGCTTCTGTAAAAATTGTATGTAATCATGAGTATCACATTTTTTCTGTGTTGATGTACATGATCTGGCAATCCTTTTTTTATCTATGGGATCTGAACTAATGCACCTCTTCGATCACTGCAAGTTTTCAGTTGTCAATTATCTTGCAAGTTTTCAGGTAAAAGAGCATTTATTGCTGGAGTTGCTGATGATAATGGTTATGGTTGGGCAATTGCTAAGGTTCTTGCTGCCGCTGGTGCTGAGATTCTTGTCGGTACATGGGTGCCTGTAAGTTGATCTCATTTGTGAAATTTATCAGACTGGATGTTCTAGTGTGAAATTATACTGGAGTTATCAAAATTTTGCAGGCGTTGAACATATTTGAGACAAGCTTGAGACGTGGAAAGTTTGATGAATCACGGAAGTGTGTGCATCTAATTAACAGTAGCTTGAGGCTTTGAGCATAATTGAAGTTTTCTTTATTCTACTTCAGTGTTTCTTGATGGAACTGTTGTTATCTTTTTGACTTTACAAGTATTTGATTCAGGCTACCTGATGGATCTCTTATGGAGATTGCTAAAGTATATCCACTGGACGCAGTTTATGACACCCCTGAGGATGTTCCTGAAGATGTAATGCTCATCATTTATGATGGTTCCGTTATCATTTTTCTTTCATGCTTTATGAACCTTTTGTCCATGTTGCAGGTTAAAGCAAACAAAAGATATGCTGGAGCTTCAAACTGGACCGTTAAGGTTAGTTGCAAATGCAATGTGCCTTTGCACCCATCAAGCAGCATCATTGCCGTGCTATGAACTTTTTCTTATCCAGTGCTTGATTCCTATGTTTTTAAAATCTGGTAGGAAGTTGCTGAGACTATAAAGAATGATTTTGGTAGCATTGACATCCTTGTACATTCTCTCGCCAATGGTCCTGAGGTTAGTTTGCCATCAAAAACTTTATATTTTTTGTTTCATTGCCACCATCAGGAGCATTTAGTTGACCTTTTCTTTTGTCATCACAAAGGTAACAAAGCCACTGATGGAGACATCAAGGAGAGGATACCTTGCTGCAATTTCAGCATCTAGTTATTCTTATGTTTCTTTACTTCAACACTTTCTTCCCATAATGAATCCAGGTAATATTCCATACTGATATGCTGTGCCGATTTTCTCTTATGCTCCTATGTGTTGACTCCGATTTGGTGATCCCCTTTTTGCTGTCAACACTATGATATTGGCTTAGGACTTTATTTTTGGGCAATTACTCATCTGCTCAAGGTATCATTGTATTTAAAGTGAGCAAGGTTTTAGTACTATGTTTAACTGGTGTACATGCACGTTGGAAAATGTTGAATATTCCAGCAGCATACTTACTTTACCTTGTGCTATGTGAATTATGAGCCCTCATAGATTGGTGTTGTAATCTGACATACTCACATTTAGCCCATGCACCAGTGTAGTCAGTGTTTGTTTCCTGCCGCACTGGTGTGCAACGAATCCTTCCATGAGGTAGCCCCTTGCCACATTTTTCTACTCGTATAAACATACCAAAGAGCAAAAGACAATGTTTGTCAGCTCTTAAGGCTCGCCACACGGGATAAATTAAGGAACCAGCAATCACTGTTAAGCCAAGCACCAGGCATGTGAAGTTGCCAAACATAGCTTTACATTGGTAACAATACACTATGACAGACTTACCATAAAATGAGGCCACCGTAGCATTGTATGTGCCTTGGTGTGGTTAAATTGCACTCTAACATGCTTGTTTAATAAAAAGTATTTCTTATTCTCGTCAGATAAGAATTTATTTGTTTTGATGTGTTTACCTTTCTTTGACAATGTTTCACTTTTGAAAATAATTTGCAGGAGGTGCTAGTATCTCTTTGACCTACATAGCTTCTGAAAGGACAATTCCTGGGTAAATATTTCTCTATTGATTTCACATCTAAGCCATCAGCGCTCATTACTTATGATTGTTTTGGTGATTGCTTTGTAGATATGGTGGTGGTATGAGTTCAGCAAAAGCAGCACTTGAGAGTGATACAAGATTACACACTTTTCTTGAGAGTCCAATGGTGCTTCCCCATGCATATAGTTACTTACAAGCCTTTTTTTCTGTTCAGGTTCTTGCTTATGAAGCAGGTCGAAAAGGCAAAATCAGAGTGAACACCATATCAGCAGGTAACTATTTCTTCTTCTTTTCCTTTCCCAAGAAAGTAAACAAGCCCACTTCAGGAAATCTTGCTGAACAGAATTTACATTTGGGAACATCACTTATATACAAAATTAGAAGATAAATGTAGTTTACAGTTTGTCTAAGGCTTAAATATTTATTACTAGCACTTGCATTGTTGTATGTCATGCATTGCATCTATCTCCTTAGGTCCATTGGGAAGCCGAGCAGCAAAAGCCATTGGATTTATCGAGAAGATGATAGATTATTCTTATGTCAATGCACCACTGCAAAAGGAACTATTGGCAGGTTAAATTTCCTTCTTTCCTTTATATCTATTTTGCCTGCCTGAAAAGGAAAAGAAGGGATTTCTTCTTTACTTTCTCTGAAAACGGCTTGCATAACATATCAACAGATGAAGTGGGGAACACGGCAGCATTCCTCGCGTCTCCTTTGGCATCAGCAATCACTGGTTCAACTATTTACGTTGACAATGGTCTCAACACAATGGGACTTGCACTTGACAGCCCTACTTTATCCACATGAGCACATTTCAGCTGTGCAGTTTGGTTTGAACCGGAGTAGTACTCGGACCCGCAGGTCTGAGCAAGGCATTCGAATTTTGGAATTAGTTTGGAGGATGGTAGTTTTTGCAGGAGATACTGTTTTCGTTTTCATTAACTTGCACTGTCAGTTACCCGTTAGAAATAAGAACTGTAACAGGCTGCGGTCTCATGGTCTATGCAATGCACTAATGCGGATTTGGATTTTGCAGGAATTGAGTTTGTTTTGCTGTCAGCTTCTGTTTGTATAGCAAATCTCCGAGGTCTGGACCTCGGGGAAAATGAGTTGCTACTCTGGTCTGTATTTTGTCTGCTCATTCGATCATGTCAAACAACTTAGAATAATTTCAAAACCTGCACGGTGGCATGGCTTTGGAAATATTTGAAGGACGTAAATACACCGCTTTTCCTTGTATACCGAATCATCTGTGATGTGGCTATTTTTAGGGCTGTTTGGATAAGCTAGGGCTAGTTGCTAACTGGGCTAAAAATTAGTCTAAATTAACTAAGATTGACTAGGTAGTTGAAAATTAGCTTACCTATTAGCACACCTGTTTGGATAACTATTTTTACGGCTGTTTGAATAAGCTAGGACTAGTTGTTAATTGGGCTAAAAATTAGCTTAATTTAATTGAGATTGGCTAGCTAGTTGGCTAACAATTAATTGAAGACTTGGCTAAAAAACTAGTTCACATTTTTTTTTGAGGGAACACCAGGCGAGGCCCCTACATAATTTTTTGATTATAAATAACTGTACAAGTTACGAAGCTTTCAAAGCCCAAGAATAAAAAGAGGAAAGCAGCTAAGGGATACTCTCTAGCCACAATTCTAAGGACAGCTCTGAGGCCAAGCTCCTTGAAATCTTCTACCCATCTAATGAGTGAAAAGCTTGCATTGTCAAAAATAGCCCTATTTCTGGTTGTCCATATGATCCAACAAGACTTTATTACATTTTCTTTGGAAATGTGACTGCCAAAGGCATTTCGAGCTTCAATGATCATGTTTATAGGAGGGAGCTGCAGATCCCGACAATAGAGAGATAGCTTGCCAACAGCTCAGGAGCAGCCAAAAGAACTTATGCTTTCCAAGATTGCTAGAAGACCATAGCCAAGGAAAAAGGGGGAGAGGCATCTATTGTACCTGCAGGAAGCTATAGACCTTTTTGTTGCTGAAGTTGCCCGAACCCCATTTATAAAGCCATTTATCATTTTTCTCTATGTTCCAGTCTTTCTTCTAGAAGAGTTTGCAAATCGACCAGTTGACTAGATGCCTGTATGGAGAGAGGAAGATGGAAAAGTCTGCTTAAATCATGTTCAAGAAAGTACCTGATGGAGCACTTTTGCCTTTTTGCATATGAGTAGAGCTGAGGGTATGTGTTCTGGAGGGTTGCAGGCAGCCAGTTGTCTGCCCAGAACATTAATGAATTGCCTCTGTTGGGTTGACAATGTGTCATCTGCAAGAATTTATCTATCAATTTTGAGATATCCTTCCACCAGAAGAAGCCTATGGGCCTTCTAACATGAGCTAGAGTGTCATTATTATTGTACAATTTGCCCCAAGTGAATTTGAACCAAGGAATGTCAGCTTGGTTATAAAATTTATCCAAAAACTTGAGGAGAAGAGTTGTGTTCAGATTTTTCATGTTAATGATGCCTAAACCTCCTTCCTCTTTAGTTCGGCAGTTAAATCCCAGGCAGCTAGACAGCCACTCTTTCTGTTGATATATCTCCCACTCCACATGCAATGCTTTCTATACTTGTCAATTTGGCACAAAACTGTTGGTGGAAGTTCAAGACTACATGTGTAAAAAGTAGGGAGTGCAGAAAACATTGACCAAAATTAATCTACCTTAGTAAGAGAGAAATCTACTGATCCCATTCAACCTGTTTTCAAATTTTGAAACCAAGTGTGAGAAGTCCTGGATAGTAGGTTTGGTTGTGCCTAGAGGCAACCCAAGGTATGTGAAAGGCATTTTGCCTACTTCACATCAAAAAGTATGAGCTAGATGCTGGCCTTTTCCCTATGTAACTGAAAGCCCTAGTTTAGTTTTGGATAATTGATGAAACCTAGGACTAACCTTTGATCTAAGTGTGTGAATTAGACAAGGTGGTCCAATCCAAGTGATGGAGCAAGATGAGGTCCATGGAGTTGAAGATGGACTTGAAATGAAGATGATCAAGCTCCAACTTAGAAAAGAAGAAAGACAAAAATAAAACCAAGGAGATCAAGGCAAAGATATAAGATATGCTTTGTTTTTGGTGATCAAGACACTATAGAGAGTGTGATCACGTTTAGGATTGATAGCCGTACTATAAAGAGGAAAAATCTTTGGCTAAACGGTTATCGAGTGCCACTAGGTGACATTGTTTTTGCATATGCATTTAGGAACCTAGTGTGCTAATTTTGTCCCTTGTAAAATGCTTTGAAAAATGCTAACACACGTGTACACAAGTTATACACTTTGTGGTTAGCAAGTTGGAGAGTCCCACATGTACACGTGACACATAAGCCGTCGAGTCCCAAAAGTCAGATGGCCAATTCACATGTTGTGCACTGGTTCGTCCACGTGTCGTATTTTTATTTGATCACATGGCTTGTCCTAGTTCTACCGCGTGGAGTACAATCAATTTGTCATAGAAGTAATTCGAGATCGTCACTACTGCACAGACTGACTACATAAATATTTAGCCTAGCTATCAAATAACAACAATTTACATTTCACACATCAGCAGCGAACCACTGACAGAGTATCACCATATTAAACCGGCATACGAGTCCACACATCAAACCGGCACATGAGCCCACACATCAAACCACAAATATTCACTGCATCAAGCTACAGGAGTTGAAGACTGAGAGTTACTAGAAGAGCTGAAGCGCGTGCATAGCTCACGAAGATTGTTGTACTCCTTTGTCATTTCTTGTATTCCTCAAGCTCCCTTTCAGTCTTTTATGTCTTCCTCTTCAGTTCATCCACTTGATCGACAAGGGCAGCAGAACTTTCCTATTCAGCAGCAAGCTGTTCCCGTAGCATTCTCTCCGTCGATGTCTCTGTTCTGGTGGAGCTTGTCTGGATACCAGCATTCTTTAAAAAAAAGTTGTTGCCGCTTCCCTGGGAGGGGGCCTTGCCCTGGTGGACGCAGAGGACCTTACAAACAACATCGGCACTAGTAATTAGTTGCTTCCCATGAACAACTGGTTCTGCTTACATAGTTTTCATAGCTTCCTGCGAAATTCAATCAGTAAAACATTAGGTTATAGATACTGTAAGAGGACTTCAATTGAAAACCCAAGAAATTGAGTCATAACAAGTAATGCATATGTCTTCCTCAGCTTACTACTGATAGAGATTACATAAGCTTCAGTAGATTTTAGTAGATTTCCATAACACTAGGCTCCTGCTATGTTTCCTTCTTTTATGGCAATGGCTTTAGTAGATTTTAAGGGAAGCAAAAGAAGGTGCTTACAACTGCTACTCTGGCAGCATCGCTCAGGCCATTTTTTGTACCGGTATGGAAGTCCCTGAAGACTTCCACAGCATTAAGATCTTCATCAGGTGTACCATTTTCTTCTTCAAGTACTTGATGTTATTCTGCTGTATTCCTCTTGTTCTCCTTCTGTTCACATTGCAAATGAGTTTCGGTTTATATTTATACAAAGGCAAGAGTAACAATAAAATATAATCATCACTTACAAATTTTTGCATCTGGACAATATAGGAGCGAGACCTTGTAGCCCGGTGGTACTTCACTTTTGTATGATTTCACTTGTTCTTCTCAGATGTTTCCTATAGCTTCATTTATGTTAGACTACAGCACAAGTAGACCATAACAAGACTAGATAGAAAATCTATGTGTTCACACACCTTGTTCTTAGCACTAGACCAAATCTTGACAAATTCACACTACTGTGCATCGTTCATGGATGAGACAGGAGAGGTCATACGGATTTGATTAGCAGGGATGTCATTGAAGTATGTTCTCTTCAACTTGTAGCATTCATGCCGTACCACAAACTGTATTACATTTTGGCAAGCTTTTTTGTTGGTGAGTGAGCACTATTAACGCATAGCCTTCCCTGCACACAGTAGTGTGAATGAAAAGTAAATCCATTAAAGTTGCTCAAAGTAGAGTTGAATGTCAAGAGGGGATACCCATACATACATTTAGCCTTTCCACAAATCTTGTGCAATAGACGGCACCGGGCTTCTCCCCCTTGTATTCTTTCCAATGCATCAAAATTGGTACTTCCTTCTTGACTACTACACCTGCCTCTGAGGCAAACTTGGCAGCTTGCACTGGATCATGTAGCCTTCTGTTCCCCTCGGCAACAGAGATGCACATCCTCGCTCCTCCTAGGGATTTGCTCATTTTGTCAAGCATAATTCCACGAGTTCAAGGCCTTGGCTTCCTCGCTCTTCCCAACAATGGTACTACACAATTTTCATACATTCAGATTGTTAGAAAAGTTACATGTATATCAAATAGCTAGTGTAAATTGATTGATAGACATTTGTAAGGTAATACCAACCTAGGCAACTTTCATCGTTCTGTGGGTGGGGGGAGACGGGAGTTTGCTGAGAGGGCTCCGCTTCAGCAGGGTTATCATCATCTAGCCATGATGAGTCTCTCTCAGGGCTAGGTAGGGTGCCATCCCAACCAATGTCTCCAGTTAATTGATGAACTTGGAATTGATCCCTGGGTTCGGGTGTCGGTCGTGATGGAGAATTATGTTCACCTACTGCTGCTACCTCCACCCTTTTGCCAGCGGAAGACCTCCGAGTACAAAATCCATGAGTAGCCTCTTCTGGTGGTGTTGACCTCACTTGCTTGGAGAGCCTTCGCCCAGGACTCATGGGAGCGCTGCCTTTTGTCCTGCTGGCAGAGCCTCCTCTATGTCTTCTTTGACCCAGAAATTGGAGATACAAACTTAAGCAGCAAGCATGTACAAATTCCATTGATATCTAAATAGTAAAGCATTGCA